AGGCTCATTGGAAAATACTTCCACAGGACTGTGGGGACAGGCAATTAAATCCTTGAAAACTGAAATCAGGCAGCCCCGAACCTTCAGGCAAGATTTCTGAGTCAACAAAGATGTTGGGGTTGTTGAGATACATCAGTAAATCCTCCTCTGGGGTTGCAACAGAGTCGGACAGCATGGGATCAGGTTGATAGATTTCCTGACACTGAGGATTCTCGTTTTGTTCTGAGAGCAGAGAAAAGGACAAGAGAAAGGTATTGTTTCAGCTGTCATGGCTGTGTTATTTTTGCTACTGCTTTCACTGAGGAAATGAGAGTGTCAAAAATGTGATGTGCAATGCAACCCACCCTCCCGCAAAAGACAGGACATACTGATGCAGTGGGAACAATACCAGAAGCACTTGATTATACTCATGAATTACATGCAGTGTTAGTACTTTGCCTTTCAGCTCATCAAATTATTCAAGTTTTTTAAGCACGGTTTAATTTTAATACCTACCGGTACACTTGGTTTATGTTTAACTCGATTAGTATGTCAAATAAAAGTACTTGTCCTGTGCTATAGGCTTAATTACAGCAGTCATACTTATATAATTCAACAGTTTTGGAAATACAATATATACTTACTCGCTGAGGCCACAGCAAGCACTCGCTTAGCTTAGTGACTGGAAACGGGGCAACAGCAAGCCTGACTGTCAAATGGTAACAAAATCTACCAAACAGTACATCTAAAGCTCACTAATTAACACGTTTCAGACTATGTCTTGGTTCTGAGGAGTTGCCAGGCAACCAGAAGAGACTCCAGGAAGCTACTGGTCATGTCCAAGAAACAGCCCAGCACATAACCTCTCGTCTCAACCTCTCAACCTGTTTTTGTATGGAATTAATAAAAATGTAGAGTATTTCCCCAAATACCTCAAGGATCTGCATGCAGTCAAAAGAAAAAGTTTCTATACGTCTTTTCAAGCCATTAAAAAAATATTGAAATTTAATCACAATTACTCCTAGTGATAATAATAATAATAATAATAACAAAGCCATTTTACCTTTCATTTTGTGATTGATCGTTACTCGTGGTATTGTTTAACCCATGGCTCTATGCATTTCTATTTACAGTTTTTTTGATTGATTGATTTCAACACATTCACCAAGCAAAGTGTTAAAGTGCTCAAGCATCAGAAAGTAGAATCAGTAGAATTTTTACATTCAACAGAGCAGACTACAGTATGTATGCATGCACCAGAAGTCGCATCCACAACCCAAATTTCTGTAAGTTAAACGTTTAACAATTTCATAGCCGTCCCCTGACATCTATCTACACCACAAGGCCAAAATAGAGAGGGCAACACAAAGCTCTGTCACGAAGGGGAGCAATTTGTTTGATGAGGTTTTTTAGCTGGATGGGACAGCAAGGAGAGCCATGACTCACCAGCTGCCTCTCCACACAGGCCATTCATTGGCTCCAGGCCTTCACCCTGTGCCATGTCAGAGGGCATGGGTGACCTAGCCTCCAGTGTGTTCCTACATGACCAATGACAAACAGTCATTACAACCTTGCTCTTGACACAAAAAAAGGCCGTGAGCACACTGCTTCTTAGATGAAGTGAGTGCATTTTTAGTTTGTTGTTTCTGTATAAATAGCATATTATATAGCGACTATTTTTATTCAAACAACCAAGATGCTGTAAGCCTGTCTGGAGAAAATGAATAATATACTTACTCCTTTGAAACAAACATCAGCTTGGTTTTGATGTACTTTATGAAAGGACTGTCATCTGAAAGACAGAGAGATGTGTGAGAGTTGAGATGTGATTCAATGTCATATTCATCCCCAACGTCAATATAGTGTCATTTTATCTGTGACTGCTGCAAAACCCCATTCATATAACTCTAACAAAAACAACAAATTACATGTGAGGTGTGTTTTTTGGAGGATTTCTTACTTAATTATTTAGGTCCAGTGTGTAACATTTAGAAGATATGTTGGTAGAAATGGAATACCATATTAATAGGTATGTTTTTATTAGTGGATAATCGCCTGAAAATAAGAATGGTGTTTTCGTTAACATGGAATGAGACGTTTTTATCTACAGAGGGAGCAGATCCTCTTCTACAGGGGCTGACATCTTGAACCGCCATGTTTCTACAGTAGGCCCGAACAAACAAAACCAAACACTGGCTCTAGATAGGGCCTTCCACATGTTTTGCTGGTTTTACAGCCACTATAGTTACAGCTGACTAACTTTACAGCTTGATGCCACTTAATCCTACACACTGGTCCTTTGGTGAGCAACACGAATAATTTGATGCTTTTACCTCCACTCTTATCAGAGTAGTATTTTCCGAAAGCCTCGTCTTTAGGGGTGTTGGGATACAGGTAAACAAGAGGATTTTCTGGGATGTTTTCAGCTTCTAAGATCTGGAAATTTCTGATGATTTCATGGAAGGGGATCTGGGAAAGGTCGACTTTGGTGAAGGGCTGGACTGTCTTTATGTCCGGCTCACCTACAATAGACAGAGGATGATCATTCACAGAAGCTTATTTGTATCTACCATGCAACAATTTCCAAATATTTTGTAGAATCATTATGAAATAAACATATCTCACCAGTTATGGTGGTGTCCACCCAGGAGAAGGTGATTCCTCCAATGACACTTTCACTGAAGCGCAATAAGAATGTGCCTCTTTGTTTTTTCTTCAGGAGGAACTTCTCTTTGCCTTTGCTCAGAAAGCCCATGATGTGGCTACAGTACAAATAAAAAGTCTCATATGAAACAACTGCCCTTTATTGAACCCAGAGAAACAGTGTTGAGTAAACATACCCATCCCTCCACAGGTCTTCAAGGTATGTTTTCACCATCACCAAGATGCCATCAAACCACACCCAGAAAGTGTCAGGAGTATTTTCCTACAATGTGGGTGGAAATCATCATCAAACACACCTGCAGAATATTCTCATAGACAATCAACACACACGAGTAAGAATCTACAGCCGTGTTAGCGGCTCTGTGAGGCTGTAATAATCACTGTGAGGAAAAACATCCTGATGTTTAGCAGGTGTTTACCATGTTTGATATCTTGGTTTACCATGTTAGGTAGCTGACATGTATATTAGCACTAAAGAAGAAATACATGAAGGGAATGTAATTAGTTGAACGACACTGAACAACATTTTTACGCAATGACGAAATGTACTGGCAATCCATCCAAAAGATGTTGAGACATTTCACTCAGTTATTAGGGTTAAGGCTAATCTTTTGGACCATGTTAAAATACATTCTCTAGGATTCAGTATTCTTACCTTGCTAAATTTTGACCACGCTACTTTGCAGGTGTTGTAGTCCTGTCCCTTTCCTGGTGGGATAGAAAATAAATGATTTATTATTCTCTCACTAAAAATATGCTTGCTGACCACGTCCCCCATATGATTCTCTCTGCTGCATTTTTTACATTTGGTGGGAGGGAGAGAGTTTAGTGACACTTGAAACAGCTGTAAATCTGGTCAAGTTGTGAGAGCTTACGGTACAATCACACTTTTTAGCTTGACACTGAGTGTGTGTTCCTTTACATCTAGTGTTTGCTTTGAATGATACAAAAGTAAAACTGAAATGAAGTTTTATAACTAAGTTCGGAAACAAAGACCACGACTCACACTCATCTCCACGCAAAAAGCACTTAAGCACACCTTATCTTCATTCCATCTTTGACTTAGTTTCCACATACTTCCTCCCCCAAACCCCTCTCTTTCTCCCCTCCACTGTCTTATTCAAATACAGGAACCACTGGGGCTCTTGACTAAAAATAAGAACAGAAGAAGAGTATCGGTTCCCTCCCACCATCTTGCCTGAACTCCTCCATCCATCTATCCACAACCATCCATCCGTTCATCCATCACCCTTCCTTCCCATACCCCTTTATCCTCAACCCTTTCCCCATCCCTTCATCCCTCCTACAGTTTATCATATTGGCTCATCTTCATCCATTATATGCAATAAACCATTATAATTCCATATGTTGGTGTGATCTTTGTTAGTGAAAAAAATGCATCCTCGTTCTGATCGGGGGAGAGCTGCAGTACAGTTCAGCACTATTTTGACACTATGTTTTAGTGATAAGAAGTGCTACTGAGGCTTGAGTTATTCTTTTTTTTTATATTTAAATGTAAAGCCAATCAGTCTTAAAATCCTAGATGCATTTGAGTAACAAAATCAGACCAGGGTGTTTCGAAATTTTGTTGACTCACAGATAAAATAATTAAGCCCAATTCATAGACAAAACAATCACAAACATAAGCAAAGACAAGCTACTGAAGCACAACACAAAAGCAGGATTTACCAAAGAGTTTGTGTGCAATCATCTCCAGCTGGGTGTCATTCAGACCACGTTTAGTGGCAGAGAGAAACTGCCAGCTCAACATCTCTCCAAACACCGGCCAAGGGGCTGCAGGAGAGTTTGCAAAGAACATGACATCCTGCAGAAAAAGACAGACATTAACAAACACATAACCCTTCTAATAGCATAACTGAACTGCAAAATGCCACATGGTCTGTGTAAAGTCATGGGGATCTCTCACCTTGGTGTTCTGACAGAGCATGTTGAACCAGAGGACAGACGCCCAGGCGCTCTGCTGCTGGCTGGAGTTGGAGATGATGACCACCGGGAGGGAGGAGGCCTAAGTTGGGTGCCAGTGAAGAACACACTTTATTTAAGTCAATCATAATTATAAAGAGCCTACATTAACCTACATGTTAAGAATATATGTAGGCTATTCTTTATTAAAGCCGGACATATAACAAGAAGAGAAGCAGAAGAAACTCTACCTGCAACTTAACTGACAAGCCTTTCTGCTCAAATACAGTGTCGAAGTAGATGATGTGCAGCTCCTCTGTGACACTGAGGGAGATCTGTCAACACACACGCAGATCATTATTTGGTTGTTCACATCTGCTTGAATTATGAATTTCTGAGTTGTAAGCACAAATGGGATCTTCAGTTCCAATAATAATTTGCCAAAGTCAACTCACATCACTGACTCCCTTGCCGCCAGCTCCAGACTTCTGCTCCTTCAGAGTCTACAGACAAATAATATTACATCAGTCACACAATATTACCACCTGAGATTAAAGAGTGATTAGTGTTATTTTAAATGTTCATCTTTTAATCACTTTAGTTTAGCTGCTAGAGACTGCTGAAGTATGTGACAGGATTTAACCTTTACATAATTCAGATGCCAAAATTGCATGAAAGGCTTTATTTTTCTCTCTTCTCAAATCATTATCGCTCACCAGATGTCTGAAGTCTGCCACCATGCCTCCACTCTGGCTCTCTGCCATGTTCAAGGCTTTGGTTGTGGTGCCCAGAACATTAAAACGGCGATATCTACCAACATACCAGGTGTTTAGTAAAAACAAATTCACCTCAAAAAGAAAGTTCAATGTGGTTTTTCTAGAACTTGAAATGGAAGCTGAAGTTGAAAAAAAAAAAAAAAACTCACCCTTTGATCTGAGGAGCCTCCCTAATTTCAAGGGGTAGAAAAAAAGAGCAGTGACCACAAGGGGGAAACCAAACATCTTCCTCTATTGTTTAAGGTTAAGAACTAACTTTTGCAGGGTTGCTCCGTAGTAAAATTAACTTAAACTAAATAAGGAATCTCACCTGTCCATAGACACATTCACTTTCATGGAGTGGTTCAGCTCAGGAAACTTAACGAGAAGTCTGAAAATATTAAGTCAGTTGTGAGATTTTAGAACTTAGAAGATAGTAAACAGGAAACTTTGACAAACAGGAAAAGGGTTACACTTTGGAACAAAACAATTGCTACATTAAAGTCACATTTAGGCAAAGGATAGAGGGCTCTACAGAAAGGGATTAAAATATCATAGTTCTGCTTATTATCCTCCTGAACATTGCTACTGATTACCACATCACAATGACTGCACTGAACAGAATGTACCTAGTGTACAAAGTCTAGACATATAGATTACCTTACAAACATACTAAAAGTAAATGGTAGTGGTTGCCTGGAGTGGCACACTGACCTCGTCTTGACAGAGAACTGGACGTTTGTGCGGAGCACCAGGGGTCCTTTGCCCTGAGGCATGGATGGCTGAGTCTCAACCACAAAGGAACTTCAGGAAACAGTAAAAAAATAATGTCAGGAAACTTCACAAGGAAATCATAAGATGGCAAGAAAGTGTAAGAAAATGTATCCTAAAAGAGAGACCTCTTGAGTAAGTCTTTCAAAAGAGTATCTGCTCTCTTCTCCAGTGCAGGTTTTTGGGCCTTCACAGGGTCGTTGGCATAGGACACTTTTCCAACCAGCTCGTCCAGCTTACCAAGAAACTCACGCACCTGGAACACAGACACTGCCACACAAGTGAACCTACAAAACAAGACAAAAAGGACAAAAGTGATGATGCTCACACACATCTTAGTAAAGGGTAAAAAAAACATGTTACTTGTTAAAACACCTCCAAATGAAGATGACTGTGGTGGTAATAGTGGTGGCATGTCTCAAATTTCAGCTGTGAGACATTTTCACAGTCTCTGTCCTGGCTTTGTGATTTTATCAAATTAAAATAATGACAGCATATCTTTAACCTATCTAGCAATACATTTACAGAGGTATTACTGATATAATGATGTGCTGTTAATGCCAAAGATTAAAACTGATGTGGAGCATGTGAAGATGAACATACCAGTTTTCTAGCTGATCCAGACAAACATTGTCTGGAGCACCAATGTAGGCTTTCTGCTGCCTCCTCTGCCAGTCCACAAGCTCCTGCTTCACCAATATTTCGATCAGGTCCTCAGCCTTGTCCAAGAGTTTATTTAAATCTGATAATGTGCTCTAAGAAGATGATTGTATGAGACAAAAAATGGAAAAAAGAAAGGCAAAATTAGGGAAAGAACTGGACTTATAAGATGAAGGTGTTACTTAAAAATGTTAATTACTCCATACCTTTCTACATTCATTCAGTTTGTTGACAAGTAACTGAAAAACTTTCACTTGTTCTTTCTTTACGGCCTCATCTACCGCAGCTGCATAACCATTTCCACAGTGGGATCACAGTTTCCATATAAGACAAGCCAAAAGAGAACACACAGCTGAATCATGCCATTTTATTACTCATCCTCAGAAAATATGATCAGAGCATGCAAATATAACCTGAACCTTAATCTACTCACCTTCCATCTTGTGTGTTTGGTATTTAAAATCAAACTCATCTTGCTGCTCCTCCAAACATAACATCGTATGTTCCATGCACTATATGCCAAAAGTACAGAGAAAAAAAATTAGGAGGATAAACGGTGATATTTGTCACCTACAAAGCACAACATAATGACATAAAGCAACAAAATCTGCACCTGTACTTCATTCCTGAGGCCGGCCATTTTACGTTCAAGGTCCTGCTGGCTGCTTGTCTCCATTGCTTCCTGCTCTACGCACAAAATCCTGACCTGGGACAAGGAAAAGTTGAAGGAGGAGCAGGTATAGAGATTTCAGATGTATTAATGGTTAATACTGTTGCAGAGAAAACAATACATGTGAGTGAAAGCAGCAGTTAAAACAATGTCACTGCTTGGTGGAAAATCTTCGCTTTTTAGCCCACACAGTCCTGTAGTTTGTACATGTGGCTCTTCCTAAATACGTAACTGCAAATACATTATTCAGAACTGGAAACAGACAAAAATGTATAATGGAAATTCAGACTGGACACCTTGAACATTTCCTTTCTAAACTTGGTTTTAAATGTGTAAATACTTTGACTTAAGTTACAGTGGCGCAGCAGACACACAGCACATCTGCACATATGACACAATAGCTGATCATTGAGTCCCACTGTACATGCAAAAAGAGCCAAAACATGCCAATGTATTTAGTGACCATATGAGAAAATATTTGTTTGTAAAAAAATAAATATCTGGTGTCAACTGACATTTTCTATAGCAATATGTGTGCAATTGTTTTCATTTGCATTCTGTTTTAATTAAAATGTTGTATGAGCAGCCCATGTATTATACATGACATAGCAGCACTGTCAGTTAATAAAATATTGCCCTAACCTGCTCGGCCAGATCAGCGCTCTGCAGGATTTCCTTCTCTTTTTCCAGAAACCAGAGGATTGTGCTTGCCAAGGCACACGGGTCATTCAAGTACCTCTGTCAGGGGAGAGAAGTCAGAAAACCATTATAGTCCTCATATTCAGTGAGATATTTCCTATTTAAAAGACGTTATCCAATGCTTTTGTTTTGCACAAATCTTATCCAAACAAACCTGAAAATTCTGTTTATAGCGTCTAATGTTGTGTTGGAGTAAGAATGACTCCTCCTGAATAAAGCGGCTGTGCTGGATATCCAGGTTCTCTAGCAGGACCTGGAACAGCACCATAGCCAAATCATGATCCCGTGCTGCTCGTTGCCTAAAAAACAAATACAAGAAACAATCAGAGTATTTTACAAGTCGGGTAATCTACTATAATTCTTGAACAATGATATAAGGGGGGAAAAGAGATAGTGCTGCCTTACCATTCCTGCTTCTCTATCCAGACTGACAGGTAGTGCCGAACATCCATGGGTAAAGCATCCCTGTCATAGAGCTCATGTAACTGTTGTCTGTACACAGCAGGCAGCTGCCTCAGTCTCTCCCACTGAGTCATCCTAAGGTAGATCACACAAAGCAAACCTCATTTATGAGTATGTATAAGAGTACTTGTGCCGACCTGCCCTGATAGACTGTCATTGCACCATTAATGTGAATTTACATGTGACGCCCTCATACAAGTCTGCAGATCAACAGACTTGTTGAGAAGATATGACCTAACAACAAACATTTAAACTTTTTGCCCTTTTCGATATAAATAACGTACATGACAAAGTGGACCGTAACAATAACTGCCTGTTGGGAAGATTAGGGGACAAAACAAAAAAAAAAGGAGCTGTTAAATATGTTGACATTACACTTCATGTAAGTTTACATGTATTGACTGCAAATATTGATGTTTTTAACAAACTATTATAAGTTGAGACCGAGTATACTGTATTTGTGTGTTAGCTAGCTCTGTTACCAATGAGTAATACCACCTTTACTCACCTTACTTTATGCTGTCAGTCCGAGTCCACTGAGAAATATCTTAATAACGCTTACTGGTAATTTAAAAATGGCGCATAGCTAACTCTTGTTTCTTGCTTTATTCGCTCGCTGTAGCTGCTCTCAAACGTTAGTAAAACAAAACAACTTCCAACACAATGCAGGCGTGTGAATGTTATTTCCGTCTTCTTTTGCACTTCGTCCTCTCTTCCATTGGATAACCGTTAATCCCTCCCAGGTCGTTCTTCACAAGCGAACCACGGGCGCCATTTTGTGTCTGACACAAGTGCCCGTTATGGCGGTTGAGAGCCGAAATGTCCGCATCCGCTCGCACAGTTTCCTCGTGGGCTCAGAGCTAACCGCTCATTGGTCGAGCCGGACACAGAGCAGCACGCGCCATTGGTACACTCCTACGTCAGTCTGCAGCGGGGGGGGCGTGGTCAGCAGAATAGAAACTTACGGCCTCGGTTTGAAGATTTCCCGAGAAATGACCGTGTGACGTTGCGAAAGTGACGAAGTGAGCATGTGACGCACTTTTCTCCAGACCAGTAAACAACAGAGCAGCTTGTGTGTTGGGACTGGTATTATGAGGGGCTTTGTAATAACTGCGGAGGATCTTAATGGCGAATGCGCCATGTTCGTGATTTCCAAAATAAAACCTCCAAATGCAAATTACTCTACCATGTTTCACCAAACAAATGGGTCATGTGGTTTGTCTCGTGCAAATCGTCATCTCTGTAAATTTTGGGTCGTATATATTTTTTTGTGTATGTTTGCAGGATATTAAACTGATATTTTAATGTCACAGAGTGGAACTTTTTGTTTTTTAAGCTTTATTTGCAAACATGAACAATACATGAACAGACAACGCCAGGGGACAGACAGAAATTATACATTAGACATTATACACAAGAAAACACTTATGGAATCTACTTTTGTGTCTGTGATTGATTACATATTGATTGTGACATACTGTGTATGCATTTTATTGTATATCCTCCATTTAACGGAGCTTTCAGTGTACCACGCATCTCTACACTTTAAAGTCCCTCACTCATCATTGCATTCTGGTTTTGTGTGTTGGAGACCGTTGACCACTCGCAGGCAGCAGCGCTGGTACATTTTCATTTATTGAAGAGATACTGGGTAAACTTCCAACATACAGTATCTCTGTAACCTGCTCTGTCTCAGCTCTGGTAGCTGGTTGCTCTTTAATGTACCCAGGGTTTTGACAGATCTGGGGAAGACTGTATTTTCTCACGATGCACCTTGTGTTTTATTATTTTTATGTTGTATTTTAATATGTTGTGATCTTGACGACTGCTACATTGGCCAGTTTTCTCTTGTAAAATAGATTTTTGACCTCAATGGGACTTCCTGCTAAAATAAATAAAAAAACGTTTTGTTTACATTTGTATTGTACTGTAGAGTCCAAAGGAGTTCCCACTCTTACCACTAGATGTCATACTTGACACACCGGAAATTAGTGTGGATTTGGCTTAATCGATAATAAACTGCCAAACTTGGCAAAAACAAATCTTTGTATTGTTGTTGTTGTTGTCGTAGAAATTTTGAGTTTACAATTCACCACAACCTAACACCCAAAAATGGCTTGGACCAGACATATATTACGTACAATTTTAAGATTATTTTAATTAACTTTTTTCATTTAGCTCTGCAATGATATTTTCTGTGACTTTGGTCTCCCTTTGTGTTGGTCTTAAGACAGTTTAAGGATATTGAATGTACAAAATATCATCAATTCAACCATGTGTAATGTGTGTTTGTAGATAAACAATGTAGAGGACAGAGTCGTCCTCAGCCCTGGACTATAAACAGAGTGATATGTGTAATGCACAGGTACAGGGGTTGGGCTCTGTTACACAGCCTGTATAGAAATAAATGTCTAAGTGCAGTTTATGCTACAGATTGTTAAATTCACAACCAACTTCCTGCAGTTATTTGGAAGTGTTCATTTGTAATTAACACATTTTCCTGTAGCTTTGTTTTCAGCACAAAAGGAGGGCCACGGCATAAAGTACATTTAATTACAAACATAAAACCAAGTCCCCATAGAGATGGATGGTAAATAAATCTACATTAAAACAGTGATAATATTTACATAAAATAAAATTGTGAATAATGGGCAGTGGAAGCATTTTACTCTGCTACACTGACAATTAGCTACTTGATTAAATGGATGAAATCACTCAAATAGATCCATTGTGAACTTGCCAATTCATACTGAAAAAGGGCGTCTTGCCCGAAACGTCCGTGTAGCAAAATTAAAAAAGATGAATGGAAGTGTTGTCCTAGTTCTTCACTCATGAAATTATTCCCAAAGCACACAGACCAAGAACTGAATATAAATTTACTCGTAGCCTATTTTATTTCAATAAACCCAACTCTCTATTTAGATCACTTTTTTTTATCACTGATTTGCTGTAACATTTATCTCAATACCTTAAGCTTGTTAAAGTATAATTATGTACCCTTTTCTGTCAGCCATGATTTGGTTCCTTTAAAATTAAACAAAGGGTAGTTTTCTGACAGAAATGATACCCCTATCTCTCTGTGTGTATGTTGTTGAGTGGTGTACTTACATTATCCAAAGTCCTCTGCAGTAAGACCTCAATCTGTGAAATCAGTGACAGAAATAAACAACTGTATCAGTCTGGAACAAACACTCATATTATTTGGAAATGCTTGCGCGGAGGTGGATGAGAACATTGATCAGAAGGGGGATCAATTGAGAGGAAGGATGTCAGAGTAATGGCAAAAAAAAGAAGGATTATGAATTCTCATTGTGGACGCACTGACATCTGATTAGGTGCAGGGCTGCAGGGCCAATCAGAGTGCACTATGCAGGAGGCTGCCACTCCTCGCAACAAGAGAGAACTTTTTTATATTTTATGCTGCACAGCAAGGTATCAGAAGTATTAGCATTAGTCTTACTAGTAGTAAGAGCAGAAGTACTGACAGTGGCAACACCAGTACTACTACCAGTAATTACACCAATCATCTATAACTGATCATGGCTGATTGGTGTATACCAATAAGCAGAAGTTGAAGTAGTATATTAGTAGTGGTTGTCGCCAAAGTAGAAATCAGGGTTACTTTAAAAATGTAATTTCGTCAGTAACCTAAACCAAGTATTGTGTTCTGTTGGGGATTATATTGATTAAAGAAAACCTGGTTTGTTCCTTAGGCCTATCTCTTTTTGCTAAATTTAGAGAGCTAATGTATATACAGTATATATATATATTATAGGTAGCTACTAACTGGATGCATCAACCTGACCAGTTTACTGAGAAATTAATAATTTTGGGTTGGATTGAGAAATACAGACGTATCTGTTTGGTAAATATGTGAGAGCAAGGTTCACAGGATGGAGCTCAGAATCAGAGCAGAGATTATGTATTACCAATCGTTAATTCACCTGAGCTTTTGATCAATAACTAGCCAATTCGCTCTGTTCTGATGAACATAATAAAATCCATGCAGCCATATGACATTATCTCTGGACAGGTCACACCCAGACAAACACACTGAACTTCCATGTCTGTGGTCTGTGGTAGGAAAATCAGATAGAAACAGAGAGAACATACAACAGCAGAGAGGTCTCAGCCAACTGGTGTCAAATAGGCATAAAAAGATAGATATATTAATGATGGCCTTGTTATATTCATGCCGTCCCATATCCAAATAAATTAGCCTTTATTGTAATTTATAAGCCATACTTATCACTGTGGTTTACTTTTAATCTTTTGCCCTGGCACATAGATGCTTATAGTTACACATGCTCTTATCATAAATTTACGTGCTCCGACCTGATGTGTTAGACTGTTTGCATGTTAAGGAATGTTTGGAGAGGATGATAAGATCTGGAGCAGTGGTGAAGAGGCAGGCATTTTCTTTTATATATATTCCTTCATGTCTGCAGGAAGCTGCTTTACTTTCTTCTGACAGCATGTTGTGTTTTTTAAAATCAGCTTGCAGACATGGGACCTTTAATATGCTTCTAAAAGTCAATTATTGTATTCACATTAACCTATTAGCTTCAACCCAGTGTAGTAAAGATTATTATATTCTCAAATTCACAAATATAACATATATAAATAGATCTCCATAAACATGCAGATAAAAGAAAGGAAAGTTAAGTTATTTTAGGTAAGTAAGCTAAAATGTGCGACTGTTTATCTAACCTGCTGATCTCATGATGTTTTGGTTTGCTCTGGCACATATAATTTGCATTTGAAAATTGTAGTAGTGCACATTTTATTACTTTTTATTTATTTTTATTTTTTTGAGTGTATAGTGAATGTCGTCTTGAAATTGAGTAACCAGAGAAGTCTGCACACAGTAATTTGGCTTGTAGAAAATATAGCTTAATGTGAACATGCACATTAAATAATATTTTCTTGTGGTGTGCATACTTTCATACTGTTACATTTAGCATAAAATTGTGTTACTACTTTTAATAATAGAGTATGTATGTATTTATTTAATATAAAAACTACCACACTGACAGACTGTATGCACACAGATTTAATATACAATTTATTGACATTTAAAGAAAAAAAAACATATAAAACAACAACATTTAGTTCTCCATCTATTGTCCCTGCAATTATACCAGAGGTGAGAATGTGACCCTGACCTGACAAAATGTTTTGATGCGAGTGAAGAAAACAACAAGAGTGATGAAGGACAGTGAACAGAAGAAAAGACGCTGGATTGAGGGCAAAATCAGAGAGTTGAGGGATTGAAGGTTTAATTTCCTGAGACCAGTTCTTCAAAAGTTGCTGCTCAATATGATAAATTGTTCAACTATTTTATTCATTACAGACACAAAATAGCTATTTTTCTAAAAGTAAACAGGTTCAAACTTTATGACCTTACTTACTGTTATAACTAACTGACTTCATCTTCAATGAATTTGAATATTGTATCAAATCAAGTTTGCTTGCGCAGTCAAACACACTAACAAAAAAGTGTTTTCCCCCTTTCAGAACTGACTAATACATTAATGTGTAATCTTGTTCTCCAAATAATCTAGATTATAACCAGTTTATTACTCTTCAACCATGTCAGTTAACAAACATTGATCCTCATTGTTTTAAAACATGTACAACCTAATTCAAATGACATTTATTGCTTAAGCTTCAGAGGTTGATTTATTGATCCTGCAGTCTACTGGATGGTGATGACGCCCTCCTCCCAGCTGAACTGGTTCACCAGAACGTCGTCTTCCTGCTTCATGGAGTTGAGGAGATACCTGACACCAGCTTTCACGCCGGTCTTAACCCCTGCACCCAGCGCGTAGCCGGCCACCCCAGCAGTCCCCCCTGTGGCAACCATCAGAGCATCCGTGCCGAGGTCAACTGCACTGAGGATGGCTCTCTCCTTGGCTGTTTCAGAGCAGTTGACTGAGGCATAATACACAGCTGTGCCGAGGTTGTAGAGGGTGCTGACTGCAGGGATCCACTCCACCACGTTGTACACGCGCTCCTCACTTTTGTTGATGCAGCTCCTCTGGGGGCTTCGCTTCATCCGTCGACCTGAAGCTGTGGAGATCAAAACATCCTCCTCTTCACTGCACTGACGGATCCAGCATTCATACTCTGTGGATTCAGCGGGCAGGATGCGACTACCTTTCGTAAACACTGCCTGGTACTTCCCAGGTTTGAGTAGTCCACTGCTGGTCACACCAGCACACAGGACTCCCAGTCTCTCGCAGGTGCTCACAGCCTCCTCTACATCACCTGTGCCTCCTTCCACTGCTGTTCCAACCAGCATGGTGCCATTCACCCTGGTCCAGCCTTCACAATGCCCTTCCTGCTTGGAGGTACCTTCTTCCACCATGGCCAGCTGCTGGATGTTAAACATCACAGCATCTATGTGGCGCCCTGCTTGATCCCTCTCTGAAGGCGATGCTGCTGATGCAGGTGCAGGTGTAGATGCAGACTTGCTCATCCTCCTCTCTATCAGACCCTCCACTTCCATCAGGAGCTCCTCTGTATCCGCCACTCCCAGCAGGTCATACAGGTTGAGCACCAGGGTCTGCGCCTCCTGTGGGCAGCCTGCCACCACCAACACAGGCACTATAGAGAGACCTAGCAGCTCCTGGGGGAATATGGCGGAGGATGGGTCGTCCATGGTGCTGGCAGACAGCAGCTCCTCACAGCTGACGTTACCCTGAATGTGGAGATGATCTTGAACCTGACTCTGAAGCTTTGCCCTGAGGTCTGATATTATATGTTTGGCAGATCGGACTCTCTCCTCTTTTTGTGCAACCACTGATACAGGACCAGGTTTTTCTGCAGATGGGAGCTGGGGTTGGGATTCCAGGATAGACTGATGATCCTGTTTGGCTATCTCTCCATGGAAGTCAGGTCCTGGGAGCCGAGTGTTTCTCAGTGCCAGAGGAGGTGGGACCCTGCACAGAGCCTGTTCATTCAGCAGGAACTGGATCACAATCAGCCACTTCAACTTGGAGGACATCATTCCGCTCTTGTTAATGCTTTTTCCCAAAGCCACTACATTAAACACAGGAGCATAAAGAAAACAAGCCAACAACACGACAAATGAGTTCTCATTGTCCATACTGAATAAACAGCTTTTAAGAAAAGATTAGGTTTTTAATTAATTAGTTGGCTAGTATCTAGCCAGCGTTTAAGACCTGTTACACATGTTTATCTGTAAAACATATTAAATGATTCATACATTTTTATTTAGTAATATTTCTGCTACCACAATTAATCATTTTTCTGCATTGTAGGATTTTATATTTTTATTCCATTCTGCCTGCATGTGCATGTGGAGTAAAATAAGTTCATGAGTAGGTATTTTAAAATCTTGAGCAAAAACATTGATGAAAAAGTTTGTCCCACTAAGACTTCAGAGTCAACAACACTGGGAAAACATTGTCCCACTCTAAAATCAAACTAGAGAAATCTATGTTATGTTTTTAAAACATAACAAGGAGCAACACAGATAATCCCAATACAGAGCCTCCACACTGAGCTGAAACATTTATACAGCTCCTCTTTTTCCTGCACTGACTATAACTAAAAATAGAAATGTTGTTCCACCCACAACTTCATAATTCCATTGCCTCTTTTGATCCTGTGGTAGCTTTGTGTCCAGCACCTACCTTAATATCGGTCAGATCTGGAGTCCAGAGTGCAGCAGTGCGACCAAGATGGCTTCAGCATGCAGGATGCTTTTTTTGTTTTCCTTTTCCCCCTTTCTTCTCAAAACATGCATAGCAATCTTCTTTCTCTTTGCCTCCAATGAGAATCTCCTTCTTTACACATGACATCCCACAGCCCTCCCTCTGTCTCATCTGTCTTTCAGCTCCCTCTTCTCTTTGGCCTCATTGCTCAACAGGGAGATCAGGGCTTGAATATTGATTCATGTGGGGAAAGTCCATGTGTTCTTAAGCCGTTTTGTTTGTCTGCCCTGCTATCCTCTCATCCCCCTTGTCCCTCTGCTCCCTCTCTCTCAGTCGGTAGGTTTTGTTTTTGACCCAGATACTTGAAAGAAATCTTTCCTCATGCCGTTAGCAAATTTATCTCTTATACAGACAAGACCAGTGAGGAAAACAGAGGGCTATCTGAGGTAAAGAACTCATTCACAAAAGTATAATATATATGCAAATACGCCACATTATAATTGATTCACTGTCCATATATTTTTACATCTCAACACATCCCATTCATGTACTAATTTATTTAGAAAAGGACTTCTTTTATTCTCTTTTATTTTTCACAGCCCCTTTCACAAACACTATAGAAATTATTGTCCATCTCTTTGGCAATGAGAGGACCCAGAATAGCCTGACTTTGCCCTGGAGCATACGGTTACTGTCCTTCCAAAAAGTCAATTTCTATTGAGATAACAGCACTTCTTTCAGACTTATGACCATGCATTTCTTAAATCATCCACTTGGTTTTAAATTAGCTTGTAGTGCAATTCTGAACATTGGAAAATTTTAAATCTACAAAATTGGAGACACATGTTTTTTTTCGAACAGCAATGATATACCAATGTGACCAGAGACTCAGCAGGAAGTTTGTGTATAAGGATTTCTATGAAACAGATTATAATTCCTGTGAATATTGCATCATGTGTTTGGCCATTGTTCTATTAGCTCTTTGTTTAACTGTGTACCTTTCTAATGCAGGATGAGGCTGTTCAATGTAAGTGAAGGCTGTGTGAATATGGCTTGTGTTCAGGTCTTCATTCTGATCTTTTTATACACACAGGAGCATAAAGAAAAACAAGCCAACAACACAACAAATGAGTTCTCATTGTCCATACTGAATAAGTAGTATTTTTTAGAAAAGCTGACTTTTTATTTGCTTGATGTGGAAATGAATTGTCTTGTATCAAACCAGACCTGTACTTGTTTCTCTGCAGAGAACCTGACTGTTGTCAGCAATGCATGGGGAGTTTTGTTTATGACATATACAGTATATACATATATATACATATATATGTATATGCATAAAAACAAAGGATGGCCAACTTAACATACATTCTTAAGCAGCATCCTCTTTATATTGCTCTTTGACCAATATATCAATATCAATACAAAAGACCACTCTCATTTTATTCAGATGCAAATAATTTTGTCTTGTTCCCCTCCCCTTTTCTACTATACCTCCCTTCCTCTCACTTTCTTTCTGCTCTCTCTCTTTTTTTTTCTCTTTTACAGACACACACTCTCTCCCTCTCCCAGACACAAAATGGCTTCATCCTATTAGAGTACTCTAGGGTTTTTTTTCTCCTCCTTTCTAAACAGAAAAGCACAAGGCTCATTCAAGACCAAATGGGCCACAGTAGCCAAAAAAGATTCTCCATAGTGGAACGAAAGTCCGGGTTAGTTACCGTAGTTGATGTAGTCAAAGTTTTGTATCAGCAATGACTTTTTTCCCTTCACAATCAGGATTCTTGTCAAATGTGGCCTTTGAAACTGACCCTCAACAACTCATCCTAGATACAGTGCTATAGTTTGTGTAATGTGACATGTATCCATATATATGACCAAATATATGAATACAAAGACTTTGGACAGCAGTGTTTTACAAGAGTAAGCACCTAACCCTTTGTTGTTGTGCTGCTTTCTGTATGTGTATCACACGATTCTCTCAAGTACAGACCAGGAATATAAACATATCATATTACTCAGCAATCATTTACAAAGACATGGTTGAGCACCTAATCATTGTGCCCTACCCTTATGTCATATTTGTTTTAAGTTAAGTCAAGTTCAGTTGTGTAGTACCTTTCAAAAACCAAATAATCTAATATAATATATACAAATAATATACAAAACAACTTAATTTAATTTATTACTAATTATTAAACTTAATTGGTAACCAGTGCAGTGCTGCTAAAATGGGGTGATATGACAGGACCTTCTTGAGTTGGTCAATAATCTGGCTGCTGAGTTCTGGATTAATTGCAGTTGTGAGACTGAGTGAGCGTTTAGGCAGATAAGAAGAGAGTCACAGTAGTCCAGTATAAAACCATGTATGACTTTATCTGTGTAATTAAAATTGAGCATATGTCTGAAATGTTTCAGAACTGATTAAAACAAAGTTGGGTGACATTTCTTATGTGCTGCTCAAAGTTTAAGGACCTGATTTAAAAGAGCAAACCTTTGTTTTCTGGGAGTTTGTTCCAGATACGTGGTGCATAAGAACTGAATGCTGCTTCTCCATGTTTAGTTTTGACTCTGGGGACAGTGAACTGAACGGTTTATAACGTAGCAGCAGATGTATTTAGGTCCTAAACCATTCAGTGCTTTATAAACCAACAGAAGTACTTAATAGTGTTTGTTTGGCTGAGATACTTCACAGCTATAAGGAGCGATGTGTTACCACAGAGGACACTAACCAATATCATCCTTTGCCAGTGCTAAAAAATCCTGCAGTACACTTCCAGTTTGTCTTTCAGCTAAAACTCCACCTCAGAAAAAACAATATAGATATGCAATATAGAAAAAAATCTTTCACTGTTGGTATAGACAAGAGGGGGGATGCTGCTCCTCCACTGGCCCCTGCTGGAGATGGAGGGAGTGCCCTCAGCTACAGAAGTTAAAATCATTAAGATTACAGGCTGAAGCAAAAGTGTGTTCTGCCTACAAGTTAAATGTGGAGTTATTGGGTGATACGGCCCTCAGCATGCTGTTTGTTCTCATCTGTTTTACTCAGCGAGGCTGGACATAAGGAAGCAGCCCACTCGGTTTCACTAAGTGAACAATCGGCTGGCTGGTTTGTGATTCATAATGCTTAATTGGAGCACTGTTTTCGCAGTCATTTCTGTGGGGAACTGAGTAAAATTGACACTGGTTGATGGATAGGAATAACCCCCAGAGTCCAATCAAACATCAGAACGTGCTGATGCAAGGTGAGTGCTACACACAGATGTGGTGTGATTAGCCATCAGGGTTTGTGTCTTGAAGAGTATTAGCTCATTTGATGTGAGTCACCCTCATGATTCTTGATCACGCTGATAATCCCAGTGAAATTATCATGTTTGAGTATGTGAAGTTTTTAATGTTTAAAAAATTTTTGTTTTAGTCTAGTTTTTAACAGTTTCAGTTTTTTATATTATAATATTGGAGTATTTTTAATAATTAATTAATAATAAAAACATTTCCTGTATATTTCTATTGTTAGTTTTGTATGTACATAATATCCTTTCAGTTTTCTTTAGTCTAGTTTTTATTTTTATTTCAGTAAACTAAAATGTTTTTTTCCACACCTAGTTTTTGTTATATAGTGTTTGGAAGTTCATAGTGCCAAATTTATAAAATTATTTAAACCCTACATCAAAAATTTGCTAAATATGAATTGAAGCTGAAAGTACAACGTGGGTTTACTCTAATATAGTAACTATGGTTGCAATCTAGAAACATGGATGATGTTGTATAAATCCTTAAAGAAAAAAATGTAAAACATCTACAGTTTTAACTCCATATAAAGGTCATGTGATCCCAGTTTGCCTGAGGTACTTAAACTGTCAGCAGACTGAAATTTCTTGTCCTCCATTTGATTGTTTGGTTACTTTATAACTTTTTTGGTTTGTTTTATTCATGTTTACACTGCTGAGTGTCATTACGTATGCAGCAGTAATAATACAATCTTGTTATCTAACTATTTACTGTTATTCATATTTGTGTACATTAGGTACATTGTGTACATGAAACCTCCCCATCACACAATAGACGGACTGCTGCCGGTGTTTAACAAAACTAAACACAGCAACTTATTGCCCCAGGGTAATTTTCAACCTACAATGTGAAGGTTTTACATTTGTGGTGCTACCAGTTTGTCAAGTTCGTTTCATGGGTTAGGAAATGCCTCTTACAAGCATGAATGCACGCTCAAATGTATTCTTTTCTGAAGATCAGATCAGATCAGATTTCTTGTGAGCAATGTGACCCAAGCGATTCAAATAACTTTTTGAGGTGCTAATAAAGTGTGAATGATTTAGTCTTCTGGGGTTAACACACAGACACCAATTTGTTCTAGATTTCTAATTGTGATTAACCAATCAGGTTACATAAACAATAATAAATTATTAAACCATCTGTCAACCTGTAAAAGGAAGCTGTTTTTCTTACACTTTGTACAGATTAAACAATAAGGATAACATTCTTGCTGTTTCCTACTGTTTCCAGTCTTTGTGCTAAGCTAAGGTAACTGGCTGCTGGCTGTATCTTCATATTTAATGGACAGTATAAGAATAATATGGATCTTGACTAACTCATCACCAGAAAGAGAAGCATAGTTCCCAGAATGTCAAACTGTTTGTTTAATGTTGTCGCAGGTTTTTCACTTCACATTTTGTTCTACAAAGTAACATGTAACTGCAGCTTTAATGAGTCAATAAACCAGGATGAGCTACCCTAGTGCAGTGGTATAAAAAAGTAATTTTTAACTCTAACTACAGGATCTAAATCCTGTTTCCACAGAGAACCTTTAATGAGGCCATGTCGAGTTTGCCAGGGTGCTCCTAAACAACAACTTCAACCACAGCAGATACATGTAGTTTCCTTATAAAACTCAAAACTTCAAGACAATCAGGAAATCTGAAATTAAGTGTCTCATTATCCTTTAAATGCAAGCTCATGTGTGTGCTTAACTCAGATGGAAAAACAGCTTTTTTAATACATTCTAATGACAATTAGAGAGGGTTTATACAATTAATGAGGAAGAAACGATTGAAGGTTTAAATCTTTACAAACTAAAACAGTTTTACGCAAATGAGCCACAACAAAAAAGTTTGGTTAAAAAATGACACATCT